TGCTTTACAAAGACAGTGAAAGTAATAAGGCTTTCTCTTCTTTCCTGTAATGCACTACAGATGGCTGCTTTTTCGCTGTGCTTAGCCACAGGAAGTTAGTAATGGAGATCCTGTGTAGGAACCATTTTAGGATGAAAAAGGACAATTTTCACCTGTTCAGGACAGCCTCCCACAATATTGTCCCACAGATTCCAGTATATAGAATTTGGATTTATGTTGTACACCTGCCTTCTATATGAAATGGCTGAGATGTAACTAAAATAAATTTTATTAGTTAGAAGCAACATTCCATAGAAGTTACTAGTTACCCTAACCTTAAGATCATTAAGAACACAATGTATAGCCAGAGTCCCCAAGAATACCCAAACCCAAACTTTTCCCCCAAGATTTCTCCCAAAGAACTTGAAAAACTCTTCCCCAAGCCCTGGATTCATCCAGTATCCCAAAACCTAAAATCAAATAACCCATCTTTTTACCATGATGTAAACATTGGATGTCCTTTACAGCCGCTGGCAAACTTTTCACAGACCGGCCGTTGCTGGACGGCAGTTGATTCCAGAACGGCAGGTCATCTTGCGTGTGGCTTCATGCCTTCAAATGCTGATAAGTGGCATCTTGAAATGGGTAGGAAGGGAAAGCTTATTGCTTAAGCCGCAGTGATAAATTAGTTCTCTTGGCAGCTTTATTCCACAATAGACTCTCTACTGCACAGAAATGAGGACCGTTGCCCACATTTGAGAGACAATATTAGATGGTAGGGGTAGCTCATTTCATGATAATTGAGCAGTTTTCAAATTCATCTAGGGGTACAAAGGGAAGCTGTCAAGTTGTTTAATGAGCCGCTTACCACATCCCTCATGCATATTATCCCAGCAGCAACAATGCGTATGAGCTTGCACATAGAAAAATATGCCCCCCGGTGATGCCATCCAGCAGGGCGAGGCCTCATTAGTCTGCTGAAATCATAGTGGATGCCAACGGAGCCTACTCAAAGGATCCATGTTGTTTGCTTTTACGTTTGGGACTTATAATTGTAGCCTCTCCCCCTTGCCTTCCACTGCACGGCTCTTCCTCAAGGAGGACTAGACTCATGCTGAGTTTTTATTTGTTCAATGGCAACTTATTTAGGAACAGGACTTAAATCCTGTGAAGGCTTCACTTTTAAGCTGAAAATTGTAACTTCCCCCAACACTTTCCCTTAATTCAAAGCGCAGTAAGGGGATTTAAAGATAAACCTTTAATGCCTTAATAGAATCCTAATCTGCTTTTACGTCAATTCTAAAACTGTGTTGAAGGGCCACAGTTCTCAGAAAAGCAGAGGAAAATCATAGAGTTTGAGTTATGCACATTTATGCATGGGAATCAGACATCTCTTGAGGCTACAGCGACCATTTTACACAAGGGATCAAAAACGACCAGTTTCAGAAATGCAAATACTTCCAAATACACTGAAAAGTTTGAAGCTTGTGGACTCCATTAACCTAATCCACTGTTGTGATTTCATTATTTGGATTTTTCCAAATGGGGAAATGTCTTCTGCACTCCTTGCACTGGACTTTTGAAACTGTCCAATGTTTCCGGGTTTCTTTTAGATGTAAAGATCATAACATAGCCAGTCTGGGATGACTTTTCTCTGCGAGAGGAATGTTTGGGCAGGTATTTAATGGTAACTTTTGAAGTTCATCTGCTCATTATGATCGTGTGTGTATACACAATCCTGAGAGAGATCATACAGAAGTACACTGTATCATTCTCAACATTTAGCCTCAGCACAGTGGCAATCCTATGCTTTCTTTGCCTGAAAATAAGCTGCATTCCACCATGTTTACTTTTGACTGCATATAGAATCAAACTGGAAAGGATTTTGAGTTTTAATAAATGATCTTCATCCATGTGGAATGCAACTTTTAGCTTTTAATTAGAAATGTGAACCGTCTGGCATACAAGGGATATTTTTTTCAAGTGCTTTTAATGTGAGGACCCAATGAAAGAAAAGAAAAAAGCAACATTTAGTCTTGGTCCATCATTCACGGCCCAGCAGTTATTGCGCTGCTTCAGAACATGATGACCCTATTCTGAAAAAGTCCCTTGCATCTCCTTCTCTTCTACATCACGGCTAGTGAGGCAGTTTAGTTTAAGAGGGGAAAGTGGCTAATTGGGAGACATGATTGAGCTCACAAAAGAATCTACAGTGTAGAGAAAATGATCCTCTGATCCTTTAATCCTCAGTATCTGGCTCACTCCATGAGCTGGTTGGTGGGAGACTCCAAATTGCTCTTCCTCTACTGCTCAACAATTAATCATGGCCTTTAATAGGAATATTCTAATTCAGAGGTTTTACAAGCACTAAATATAAGATGCTGGGACTAAAATGAAGAACATTCTCCCTTTCTTACCCTCTTTGCTCTCGGAGGCATCATGGAATGGGAGACCACTCTGTTGGAAACAAGACAATGGGCTCGATCGCTCTGTCTCTAGCAGGATTCTTCTTATATTCCAAATGAATTCAAAACAGAGTTCATAGACATGTTACAAAAATGATCGGGGGTGGAAACTCCTATGAGCCAAGATTGAGGAAACTGGCTGTATTTAACTTTGAAAAGCATACATTGTGATATCCCAGCCGAAGCAGTTCTTCAATGTTCCCAGAGTGCTGGACATGAAATAATAGTCTGAAATCATAGGATGGTAATGCTAGTTGAATGTTAGAAGGGGGAAAATCTTCCTTAAAGTAAGAAAAGTTAAATAGTGAAGCCAATTATCTTGGAAAATGGTAGGCTAAACACCTAAAGCTAAATTACACACTTACCTCTGTAGGCCCTGTGGATTCATTCTTGGTTAAAAGTGTCTCCATCTCTCTGTTGCCTGAGTGAGAAGGGACTTTCAAAAAAGACAAAAGTCACCCATTATACTTAGGCCAGCGGAAGGAAGCTCATCCATGTGTTGCCTAGACAACCAGGGGATGCTTACACCGTTCATCTCTTGAGCCTTGCTGCAGTCTGTGAGGGAACAGCAGGAGAAATCACCTGGTTGCCTAGGCAACCAGGTGATATTCCATCTCTTCCAGCTTTATGTTATGACTCAATTCTGTGGTGGTAGAATTTGCAAAGAGCCACAAAAGCGTATTTAATTCCACAGCTTGTCTGTACAAAGACATTTCATGACCTACAAGCCATATTTCAACTCCATTTCACTCATTTTATTAATAGGAAGAGTTAATGATTTCATATGGTTCCATTTCAGAGTGAACTGACCCTATTTGCACTTCTTGGACCTGCCTTTCCCAATCTGGCACCTTCCATGCAGAGTAGAAATTCTCTAAATCTGTGCTGGCCTGTGACCATAATAAAGATTGATTTGATTTGATTCTGTCAATTGTGTCCGATATACATGGAAGACATCAACTTAAGAGAGGCTTTCCTGGATTATAGTGGAACAGAACACAATTTTCTTTGGATTGGACTGGGACAATGTCTTTCAGCATCCATTTTTACCCAATCCACAGAATCTGCTTTTTTTTCTTTGAGAAACTCAGGAAAATGCTTCACAACAGACACAGTTTACCTTGAAATGCCCATTCCAGCATGTATTAATCCTAAACAATATTCTGTACAGCCCAAAATATGTATTTGGATGTGTTTTCGAGCTGAGACTGTGACCACAAATTTAGAGGAGTGTGAAAACAAATGAAAAAAATACAACAAATAGTTTGATTCCTGTGCTAACAGGATTAATTCAATGTGTATTACGGAAACTTTGGGAGCTAAGTAATTTGATGATGTTTAAAGACATTTATGGGACTTGCACAGCTTGGTCTCGACATCAGGAGGTTCATAGTATTCCGCAATCTATTTGAGGCTGGATTCTTCAGGCAGGGTTGGTTGGTTGTTTTTGCAGCTGCATGCATATATATGAGAGCCAGGTTGGTGTAGTGGTTAGAAACTAGGCTAGACACAGGAGACCATGAGTTCTAATCCTGCCTTAGGCGCAAAACTAGCTGGCTGACTGTGAGCCTACCCCACTAGGTAAATCAGGCCAGGAAATCAACTCTGCAGGAAGGCTAAAACTACTTTTCTTGAGATTGGCTATAATAATAGAACCTTGCAAGTCTGATTGTGCTGGACCTCCTCCTCCTCCTCCTGATACTTCAGTGAATCAGGGTGGGGTCTCCCTGAGCTGCTTCCAAATGTTATCTCATTGCTCTGGATTTAAAAAATGTTTCGGTCCCTAGACAGCAGTTCTTGCATATTTCCATCAAATATTCCTTACAGTGATTTTAGACCAGTAATTCTCTCTCAGCCCTAGGAAGAAAGAACCGGCAAGCCTTTTCCAAAAATGTTGTTAAGAAAACTATGGAGACCGGTCCTAGCAGTTGCCAAGAGTCAAGGCTGACTTGAAGGCACGAATTTCCATAGATGTAGATGTAGATGTAGATTGTACACGTACAAACAAACACACAGGATACTGTGAGCTATCAGGGATCTGATTTCCAAGTACTTGGGCACTACATGCTTGCTCATTAAACTGCTAACCATTGTTAGAGTTTTCTGTTCCAAGTACTTCTGTTTATTGCAATGGCTATGACTTCCGAGTTGCTGCTAAATCAGTGTGGAGCAGGGTTGTACTGGGAAGTTTGCATATCTTGCTTGCCTCTGGGAATGCACTTCAAGCCTAGCAACACATTCTTGACAAGGTTTTAAGGCATTCCTGCAGGGTCATATTGGGAACCGAACTCAAACAGGAGTGTTGAGGTGCATTTCTGTAGAAATTCTGTGTGTCCCACCTTTGCATGCTCCTAATCTGATATCAGTAATGTCAAGTGTGTGTGTGTGTGTGTGTGAGTGAGTGAAAGAGAGAGACTTCTGAATGGCATGGTAGAGGGGGTGCATCCTATTCTCCTCTTCAGGTGCGAGGAACTTCATCCAATTAAAGTTTCAAGCATTTAGAGCTACCGGATTCAGCCTTCAAACACTCACTCTGCTTCTTATCTCTTTCTCCAGGCCCAGCATCTTCTTTTACCCAGCAACCTCAGGACCAGGTGGTGATTGCTGGCCAGCCTGTGACCCTCCTGTGTGCTATTCCCGAATACAATGGAATTGTGCTCTGGATTAAAGATGGACTTGCCCTGGGAGTAGGAAGGGATCTCTCCAGTAAGAATTTTTTGGCTTGTTAAATAGTTTTACTTCGGATTTAACCAAATAGATCCTTACCTACCCCAGACAGCTCCTATTAGATGCTTATCACCAAAGCAACACGGCGAACTTCCAACATATGCAATACACACACATCTCTCTTCCCACCACCGAGCAATCTCTGTACCAGAATGAAACACTTTTGCCTGGTTTTATTTTCACCCTGACTTTTAGCAACCACAAGCTATGGGGGATAATCTTGCTTTGTGTGTGCGTGCCTTTGAGTCCTAGCAACTAACTAACTAACTAACTAATTTATTTATTTATTGTATTTATATAGCTGCCCATCTCACACAAAGTGACTCTGGGTGGCGCACAAACAATGAAAAAGAATAAATACATAAAAGCAATTACAAATCAAAAACTATAAAAGCACACAAAACAGAAGGGGATAAAATTAATAAGGGAGCCATCGCAAAATCTCCCCGGTCTCCTGGGAGCCCCAGGCCTGATCACGTAGCCGGGTCTTGAGGGACTTGCAGAATGTTAATTCCCTGCAGTTTTCTTGGGAATGTTTTGGAAGTAGTTTGCCCCTGCCTTTTTCTTAAGGCTGAGAGAAAGTAACTGGGCCCAAGGTTACCCAGCTGGCTTTGTGCCTAGGGCAGGACTAGAACTCCAGTTTCCCAGTTTTTGGCCCATTGCCTTAACTACCAGGCCAAACTGTCTTTCATGGAAGTGGTTAAGGCCAGGATATTCTGGTTCCTCCCCTGTTTTCAAGCATTTGTATTTGTGGCAGTGCTTAGATGCATTAAGCCTTACCTTACTTCTTTTCTTTTCCCCAACATGGGGCAATCCTGTTCCATGATTTCCCACTAAATGTTGGTAATCTGATCTCAGAAGGCACTAGGTTGTAAAGAAGGAGGTTTAGGAGACTCAGGATAGGCTGGCCATCCTTGCTGTGAACACCATGTGCATTTATTTATTTTGTTGTTCTTTATTTTGTTGTGAGCCACCCAGAGTCATTGAGTACAAGTTTAATAATAATAATGATCATGATTGTTGTTGTTGTTAATGGTAGAATATAAATCAGATTTAAATCCTGCCATAGTCATAAGCAGACCCTTGGTGGCTGCTTTTGCATGTGGTAAGAATCAAACTTTGAACAACTGTGTGCCTCCCAGTTATAAACATTCCAGTCTATGGAATACTTATCATCAGAGCCTTGAGAGTTTGCTGTAAAATAAGAATCCTGCTCCAGGCTTCAGAGCAAGGATGCGAGGCCTTTTCTCTTAACATACCCAGGGGAGTGATCTATGCATTGAAGAGAGACCTAATGCAGCTTCAGGGCATTACACAAGCCAAGCTCTGTTCAAAAAAAATTGCTGAGTTGGCTTGTACAAAAGAAATGTGTCTATTCTCCCTTCCTACCAAACTTCCTTGCCTGCATTTCCAGATTAAGTAATCGACCCCCTTCTTTTATATCCCCTTGCTTGTGGAAGCTGCCTGATGCATGTTGCTAATATATCTGAAACAGTCTGTTCTTTGCCTGCCCAAATTTCAGAAAACCCTGAATGGGTAACAAGAGCTAATGTGGTTGATATCTCATTCTGAGCAACTTGAGCAATTAGCTTCCCTGGGTCTGATTTAGCAAGCTGGGGTTCTGCCTGCTTGTGGAATTCCAGCTCAGCCAGTCATCTAATTAACTAAATACAAACAAACCCTTCATTTGTATTTCTTGCGGTTCAGGAGAGCAAATCTTGCTGTTGATAGCTTGAAAAACAAAAAAGGCCCCCAAAGCATATGGGTTAATGCCAAGCTACCTCTGTCTTGCAGCTCATGAATAATCCAGCCTGAGAAGAAGTTAAGTTTGGGGAGGGCTCTGTCCCTTCCGCACCTTGGAGAACTGGAAAGGTGAAGCTAAAAATGCTCACTCCCCCATCAAGTTCCTGCTAAAATTCTGCTGACAAAAGCAGTTAATAGTGTCCCTCTTGTTCATATTCCTTATAAACCCAGTATTTGGTAATTAAATAAAGGTAAACTTCATTCAAGATGCTGGGATGAGGAAGGACTTTCCACACAATAAGCACAGTTTGGATAAAGTCCTTGAAGTTCTTTGTGAGCTGAAAGCTTGTGTTCAGCATTCTTCTAAAGATGGATCCCAGTCAGTAAACTTAAACAGTTTTCTTCGACCTAAGCTACCCCAGGAGCATAATCATTCTTAAGAACCACCTCTTCTTAAGAGTCCTCCTTTACTTAACACAAAGCAAGATAACAACAGTGGCCGCTCAGTAGATGCAAGAAAGTGGAAGACAATGAGAGGAAAATTGAAAAATGATTTAAGAAAGATGAATTCCCGCTGTGGATGAGGATTTTTCTTCTTTGTCACCATTTGTCCTTACTCAGAATGAATGCATAGCTTTTGAAACAAACCTGTTGAATGGGTTTAAAAAAATAGATGAACTTATTTAACAGATACTAGGTTTTCCTTCTTCAGACTGCCTTCAAAACATTATTTTGTTTTTCAGTAGCATTCAGTCGCTTTCCTCCTTCTTTGTGCTCCAGATTATGGGGTTCCCCAAGTTGTTTTGAGAGGAATCATTTCGTGAATATCTTCAAAAGAAAGGGAACGGGGATGGGTCTAATGCTTCAGAAGCCTGAATGCATTTGGAGGGTCTTGAACTGAAGCTTTACAAACAGAATAGGAAGATGTGATCCTACTTTTTAAAGTGATTTAAATTATTCTTATTTTTAAAAAAATCTCAGCACCTGCAAAACAGCTGTAGGACATGACATGAACATTCTTGTATGGTGAGCTTTGTATTATGCCAGAGTTCTTGTTGATGGGGAAAAAACAATGTACAGTTGCTCCTGATTCGCTCCAATTCTGGCTCCATTATGTACCCTACAGGTTACCCACGCTATTTGGTTGTGGGGGATCATCTCTCAGGGGAGCATCACCTGAAGATCCTGAGAGCAGATCTCCAAGACGATGCTGTGTACGAGTGCCAAGCCATTCAAGCAGCCATCCGTTCCAGACCAGCCCGGCTGACCGTTCTTGGTAGGGGTGTCATTTTTCTTGGGGTTTATTTCTTCCTTGAGTTGGAAAGGAATGAAATGTCTTTTGAAATGAGCACCTGGCTTTCAGAAAGCAGGTGGGTATTATATGGTATGAATTGCCTGTGTTATTTGAAATGGATCGCCTGAAGGTGATTCAGGGGACAACATTCAGGAGAAAAGTGTGGGTGAAAATGGCAGTCCTGTAATACAATTCCTCCTTCTTCTCCTTAATAACGGTGCCAGGGATAGCTGTGGACAGAGATTGGGATGAAGACATAATGTGCCCTTGTCCTGTATAGATAAGTGTGTGCAGATGTTAGGGGAAGAAATGCAGAAGTGATTGTGTAAAGATATCTAAAATCCTTAAGCGCTGAAAATATTGATAGACTATCACTGTTTCTACAGTGAAGAAACTCCAGTCTTTGAAGCAGATATGGGTGACCAGCAGCCCCAAACCTTCATGCAGTTTCAAGACTCACTTTCTGTGGCACCCAGAGTCCTCTCTGACCATAACTGCTGAAAATTCAAGTTGTCATTTTCTGCCACTTTAAGGCATCAATCGTGGAGACTTTCACTACAAACACAGGCTTCACACGGCTTAAAGGATTAAAGAAAGAGCTAACACCTCTTTCCCTAAACCCAGTAAAACACAAACAAAAATCCATCCCTTCCTGTTTGCATCATCACCCCACCCAATCTAGCTGTCACGTTCTTCCCCAAATTTAAGCATGGCACACAGTTGTTAAAAGATTACTTTGCTGTAAGCAGCCATTTCCTCTAATGCATTGAGAGTGGAAGACTGAAGGACAACTTGTACACAGCTCTCTTGCTGAACATATGGAATTTAAATATATTGAAATCCCTCTTTTGTTGAAGATCAGTGTTGGATATATCCCAATTAAAAAATTAAAAAATTGAATATAGTGCTTCACCCAAATCATTGTCACTCGTGCTCTTATTCACATTAGACTCATTTTTGTATTGTGTCTTTGTATGCCTTCACTCTGAGTCTTTCAATACCAAATCATCACCTCATTCCTATAGTATCTTGGAAGGAGTAAGCAAAAAAACCAAAAAACCCTTGATTAAGAAGTATCAGTTTGTCTGGTTTTGATTTATAACAGATCCTGATGATTCTGAATGAGTAACTGGCAGAAACAAGATTTATGTACACACACACATATGAAAAATATACTTCTAGGATAACTCCCTGCAGCTACTAAAAGCTGAGATGTTATTATGATTGAAAAGTGTTTATCAGTGGATAAACTCTATGAAAAAGAGAATGGAATCTAATGTTCATTCATTATCATTCCTATGAGTGAACCTTCTATATCACAAAGATATGGAGGGAGCTTACCAATTAATTGGAAATGAGGGAATTGGTGCAATACAACCATGAATATTGTATATCCTGGGGAGGTTATCAAGTGAGAGTGTTTATGATTTGATTACAGGTGGTTTGTGTTCCCCATTTATTATTAGTCTGATTGGATGAAGTCCTCTCCTGGGACCTTCTAGCACTTGGGTGGGCTGGAAGGACAAGGAAATAGAGCAAGTAAACCTCTCTCTCCTTTTATTAAGTAACTCTTTCTCATGTTTTGCTGTCCTTGGTTGCCAGCCTAGTCAGAATAAAGGAATTTCTGTTGGAAATAGATAGTGGTTGTGGGAGGGGACTGGCTGGATTGCTTTACCAGCTGTTGATGATAGAAAGCAGTGAGGACATACTTACCCTGCATTTCCAGTGTTTTACTCCACTACAGTGAGTATGGAGCCCTGGCAGCAAGGTTTTTCCCCAGGAAGAAAGCTGTTGGTTCCTGAAACCTAATAGTAGTTACTTTCTCTACTGGATTATAGCTAGAACGTCTCCTGTCTAGCAAATCAGTTCAGGTAAAGAAAGATATCACATGAACCTTGCTATGTGAAGTTTCCACATCTAGGGAATTTTATATGTGGACTTTGCCTTGCCCAGTGTATGACAAGAATGATTGTGTTTTGCAATTGTGTGTAATTCTCCTATGTATCCAGCACCTTTTCTGTGCCTATTGAAGTGTTACATCTTAAAGTAGCGGTTCGAAGCAATCTCACTCTTTGGATTCAGAAGTCCTCTTTGCTAGAATTGGTTGATTTTTCTGCTTGTTATTTAGTGGCTCATTACCAGACTGGTGGCTCATGATTTTAACACTCTATTATGCTGGAAGTTCATAATTTGGTCTCTTCATTATCCCTGCTGTTTGGCACTCATTCCCTCTGCAAGCCCATGCTGCTATGCTATTCAGGACCACATCTGAAATTCTGCAAGGGATTGATTAGTTAACCTAGAGCATTATAAAAGGAGGAGAATGTGAATGGCCACTCCAGTCCCTCTTAAAGGTGCAAGCAATGTTCTGACTGCCATGTAATAAAGGTGCACCGAATAGAGAGCCAAATTTCTGAAAGCTGGGGTATTGAAGAGGTTTAGAAAATGCTTTAGAGATCTCAGGTGGGCTATGAACCTTTAGTCAAGCACATTTACTTTGAAGGAAGCCCCATTGAATTCTACAGGTTTCACTTCCAATTGGATCAGATTGGACTATTAATCCATTAGCCAATAATATGATAAATTGTTTGAGCTCAAAAGGGCATACATTTTCCATTACTGAAATTCTATGGTGGGATGAGGCACACTCACTGAATTTCCCCTGATTATAGAGCTACAGCACAGTCTTAACACAAGAGCCCAGCAGATGCCCTGCTAACAAACTGCTCCGTAGGTCCTCCTCTTTGGAATTTTGCTGAGATCCAAACATTTGGAACCAAAATGTCCATTGGAATATCTCAGGATTAGAGAAAACTTGAGTATACCCTTGCTCTTCTCCCCCCCCCCCATTTTTTATTTGGCAATTGAAATTTAACTTTGAGACCCAGCATAAATTATAAGATAGCCTGTGATGGGGTTACCTTATTTCAGTAAAATCTGCTGTGAAATATTTCTTAGCATCCTCTTAAACAGAGTTAGGCTAGGGTTATATATATATATTTTTAAAAAAATCCCCTCTCACCCCTATGGGTAGTATGTGTCTTCCTCAATCTCGGGTCTTCTACCAGAGGCCTGGGAGTTTGAGGGTTCTGTGCAGTGTCTTAGCTGTTCCTAGCACTGCACTCTTCTGGATAGAGAGCTCTGTTGTTCCTGGGATCTGTTGGACCCACTCTCCCAGCTTAGGAGTCACAGACCCAAGTACTCCTACCACCACTGGGACCACTTTGGCCTTGACTTTCCACACCCTCTCTAGTTCTTCCTTCAGGCCCTGGTGCT